TCCGAGCTTCGCAAAAATGTCCAGCATTGAATAGAGACGTAGTGACGTAACAACATTGACAGAAGGACAGGGCGTGCCTTTACAGTCCGCGGGAAACACGGAAATGCATCGCATAGATCCGGGTGTGTTCCTGAGAGAAACACGGTTCCTCTCCTCCACATAAATTTCTGGCTGCGTGTAGAGAGAGAGACGTAACCAATCAGAAAGTTCCTTCCACATTCCCAATTCGATCGCGTGATGGTGTTAAACGCGTAAACATATGTCCTGTCTTTTCCTCTCCCGCGGACAATATGGCAGGAAGTTTCGCAAAAAATGACAATGGAGAGCCAACTTTTTTCCGGCAGATGCGTGCCGCATGCGTAATTAATCGTCGATGTAACAACTAACTGGTTGTCGCTCGATTGTCGGATCATCGTCAGATCGATGCGTCTTTCGTGCCAAACTAAGCAACGGGGATTTTCCCGAGTGACGATATGACGTAAAATAGCGTGACGGTTCGATCGTGAAAAAAAAAGGAATTTTGATTAAGAATCGCTGAATCGCAATTGTTAATTAATGCGGTAGAGGAACAATGGCCTCGACGTATTTCTGATGTACGTTATCGTCGCACGTCCGCCGCGGACGATAATCGAATTTCTGGCAATTCTAAGAAGGAAAAAAATGGAGGAAGGGCACCAATGACCAACGAGCCCTCATACCGTCGTCGTCCCTATCTCTCACGCACGGCGGTCTGGAATTTCCTCTGGAGATTAGATCACATGTGAAATTGCACACCGCGAAACTAGCGATACAAGACGTATTTATACAAAACGAACGCACGAAACTGGAACGCCATCGTCGCGGCTCTCGACGAGCATAGATAGGCTGTAAAACCGCTAACGCTGCTCACGATTACAATTACAGTTAGATGGGCTGGATTTACGTTTCGCGTCTTGAATTTTCACGAAGGATCGTTCGGCGCTTTGTTTACGCTCTTGAAAACACGATCGCAAAGTTTAACGTTCAAGGCAAAATCTTACAAAATAAACAAAATGACAAATTAGCGGAAAAATTCAGATTATTATTATTATTATAACGGAGGAGTGAGTCGTCGGACCTGATCTTTTTGTTTTTCTTCGAGAAACCGCGCGGATCCCCCTCCTGAAACGTAAAAATGACGCAAAAGTCTCGATAACGCGGCTTCGCGCAACTTTGCAGCGAATGATTTTCGACAAATTCCTGATGGGTGGGAAAAAGTAACGTGATGGAGGCCGATTCCTCCCGCCGATGACCTCGAAGCCAATCGGCAATTTTACGATGGCTTGGATTCTGGCGTTCGCGTTCGCGAGAGAGAGAGAGAGAG